AAAAAAAAAAAAAAAAAAAAAAAAAAAAAAAAAAAGTATGCCCGGGCTCTGCCCAGGGGCCTGGTCCCATTAGCAAAGAGGATTGGGTTTAATTCCTGAATCTGGACATGTTTTTGGAAAGATGCGGAAAATTGAGATTGCTCAGCTTTTCTGCATCTGTCAGCTAAACACGTCCAGATTCTCGAATTAAGTCTAATCTTCTTTGCCTATGGGACCAGGCCCCGGACTTTGCCCGCACTTTTTGTTTTGTACTACAGCCGCTCAGTTCAGTGTGTTCATTCAGCCGATCGTCCGAATCTCTGGCTAGATTCGAGCTCACGCTGCTGTGTTACTTTTTTTTTTTTGTTTTTTTTGTTTTTTTTTTCTGTGTCACTAACAGTTAAGCGAGCATACCATTCTGCCACACACACACCGCCCGGAATTTTTATTTATCTTTTTTTGTTTTTTTGTTTTTGGGCACTACTCTTGCAGCTTGCCCGCGGTTTGCCCGCGCTTTGCCCGCACTTCGGACGTCGCTCTATGGGCCTCGCTCCGCTAATCTCGACACATGCACAGAAGACGACCAAGTTCAGGGCGGTGTACCTTTGCATGTTCTAGCGGAAGGTTCACTGTCGTTTTGCACATGTCGAGAGTAGTGGCCCTATTACACAGCACTTTACACAGCACTTTGGGCCTACCGGAGTATTCCCGGGCCCTATTACTCTTACTTTTACTATTTATTTACTATTTACTATTACACAACACTTCGTATGGCGCGAGTGAGAGCCCTTTTTTTTTTTTTTTTTTGCCCGCGTGTTTTTTTCACTATCTTTTTTTTTTTTTCCGATTTCACGATCCTTTTTTCACGGGCACGGAGGGGGGCACTTCGCTGGCATTTTGCCCGCGCTTTGCCGGCAGTTAGCCCCGCACTTCGGTGTGCTGGCGCAGTTTGCCCGCGCACTTCGGTGTGCCGGCAGTTAGCCCGCCTCTCTGTGGTGTGCTGGCGCACGCGCGCGCGTGCTCATCGTCACCGCACTTTGGTGCGCTGACCGCGCGCGCGTGGCCGTGCCCAGATACGCCGCAGTGGTCCAAATAAGGTCCATCGGGATTTGAGAGCCTGATAGTGGAGAGGAGAGGAGAGGAGAGGGGAGTGTGTGTGTGTGTGTGTGTGTGTGTGTTAACAAGGGGAGAGGGGAGGGCGCATCTGTATCGAGCGTTTGACGGCAAGCAAGAACCATCTTTCGAACCAGAAGCAGGGAGTAGTAGTAGTACTACGGTAGGAGGAGGGAGGGCGGAGGGGCTTCCTTTTGGTCGTCACGTTTCTTGCTATTGTTTTTTTGGTATTGCTATGCCGTCTCTTGCGCCGATCGAACTTCATAGCTGGCGCCCTTTCAGTTAATAGAAGAAAGAAGGGGAAAGGTCGAGTCCGAATATATATATTTTTTGAATAAATTCCTGTTGGTTGTGTGAATATATTTTTGCCTTGCGGTTCACCTGCTGCAGGGAGAGAGAGTCTGAGCGACGGGGAAGGGAAGAGGACTGGATGCGTTTTTTAGATATCAGTCCATCAGATGTGTATTGTTCTCTTTCAACTTTTCTTTTTTTTCTGAGAAAAATATCGAGCCAGTAGAGCCAATGATTATTGCGCTTATAGGTTTGGGCGTGTTGACTGGAAGGAGAAGAAACTGACGAAGAAGCCGACGAAGGCGGCTTCATAAGTGGTGGGTGTCGTTTTCAGGCAATGGGAGTGAAGAATAGATGTGGGCAAGAGAACGCGGGGAGGGGGGGAAGATGTGCATCGCTCTTCAGCCGGTGTTCCGCCGATATTCCGCAGCTGTTCCGCCACCGATTCTGCTGTCGCCATAGCCAGAAGCTTCGCTGGTCAACCGCTTCTCGCGTAGTCCTTGTATACGTGATTCTATGTGGCCGTCTTTTCAGGCAGCCGATGGCTTGGAATTTGACGAGTACGACGCCGTGAGGAAGGCTCGTGGATCTTTCCGTCCATCAGCCAATCAACAGATCAGCCGATCAATTACTTAGGCCAGCTTGTTATACCATCTCTACCGCTTCACTCGCGGCTCTTTGTCGACGGCACACACACACAGACAGAGACACACACACACACACACACACACACACACACACACACA